ATATTGCATCATTGGTGCAATTGTTAGAAGAAAATCTGGGTGCCCGCTTTAGGGCTGGGGAAACCATTCAACATCCTGGATGGTTCGCCTTTGAACCATAACATCCCCATGCCCCAGGCCTCAATATTGAGGATTGAATGGGCGATGGCGGAACATATAGGCGCGGACTAAAGCCTCCAACGTTGCCTCGAAAAGTGAGCGCCACCCATTGGAGGAGTGTGCGCGCAACCTCGTCGCACCCGGCCAACCGACCACTCCTTGAAGCTCCCGACTCTGGAATAGGGATCGCATTGTAGCGCGAACACAAACTTTCCTAACCGACAAAACCGCAGATCGGCCCGCCACACTACGGGAACGTTCCCTGTTTCCGGGGCGCAAAAGTCTGGAAAAATTGGGGAAAACCCCATTGGCCGCAGCTGGCCGGGTGCGTTCGATTCGAAACCGTGATCGGGTAGTGTCCACTTGGTATTCCAGATTTTTCGCTCGCGAGATGAACAGGCGGTGTGCAACCTCCAAGTGGAAGGGAACGAGAGGACTGCCCGACTTTAGGGCCCCGCTTTCCAGGTACTGCCAAACTAATCAGTAGTTTTCCCGGAGGGACTTTAAAAAATTCATCACTCCCAACAAGTCCAGGAGTGTTTCACTGGTTCCAAGCGTTCCGCTTGGAACCAGTGGAAAACCGCTTCTCAACCTGCGAGGGTCCCGGCAATCTTCCGGGCTGGAGGCCCATTCCCTGACCTTTGCCATTTAACTAGAACGCCAATAGTATTCACCATCTTCCCTGGCAAATCCTGCATGGCAGTTTTCTCAAAATTTCCAGTATTTACATACAAAACGGCCTAATTGGTGACAGTTGACCAACAGCAGCGCCACTGGCAACGCCTAGAATTTAATTACTAATTGATGTTTATTTCTAATAAATCGGACAAAGAAGTCGACCTCAACTGGCTTCTGGCCTTGTGCCCTCCTCAGTCTGGATTAAATGCTCTCTCGCAAATAGCCGCAGGCAATTCAAAGGCAGCTCTGGATTGATAGGTGGCTCCAAAGCAAGCAAAATGTTGAGTTCCAACTCCAAAGTTTCAACTCGGTTATACACTTCTGGAAGCGATCGTTCCAGACAAAACACAATGCTGATCGATCTGAAGTGAAGCTGGATTTATCTGTTCCAGGAAAGGATAAACACCGTCGACACGACGATCGCTGTGCTGGCCGAGCCCCATCAGCGAGATGGGGCCCAATGGGGCCAAGCCCTGGATGTACAGGGCTGGCCCAGGCCCATGGCCCGGCTACAACCTGATACTGCTACCAATTGTGATATTAATGGGACTGTTCGGCACAACCACCATTACGAAAGCCGAGTAAGAACCGTTTCGATTTTATCAGCCTCTAATTTGAGTTTGGAAGAATGGAGGCATCTTCCATTATTTGCCTTGCTTATGCTCAAAAACTCCCTATTTTATCAATGTCAATAACACTCCAGTACTCAACCCGGTTTTCTGGCAATGGATGTTTCAACGACCTTCTGTAAGACGAAATTGAGTCAGTTTTTCAAATAAACCCATATAATATAGTGAACGATATTTCGAAGTATTTTCGAACTAATGATATCAACCTTTGGCAAATTGGAATCAAAATTGAAAAAAATAATTCAGAAGCTCAACTTTCAGAGCTTTAAACAGAAAAAAAGCATCAAGAACATGGTGCGAAATCGAGTCCTCCACCTTAACCAGTTTGCTTGTAACTCAATTTTTGAGGTCATCTTTCATATAGAGCGAAGTCCCTTCAAAACCTACAATAAACTGAACAT